GGAGCCAACTTCAATCTTTTCATCAATTCTGTAAAACTCTCTTCACATTGAACATCCCACACAAAATCTCTACCTTTACAAGTCAATTTAGTCAACAGAAGTGTCAACTTAGAGAAACCTTCAATAAACCTTCTACAATTACCAACTAATCCTAAAAAGCTTCTAATCTCGGTAGTCGACTTTGGAGTTTCCCATTGCAACACAACATATACTTTAGATGGATCTACAACAATGCCACTACCTGAGATCACATGACCAAGAAAACTATCCTCCTTCAACCAGAATTCACACTTAGACAACTTTGCATACAAGTTCTTATCTTTCAAGACTTGCAATACTATTATTAAGTGCTTTGCATGCTCTTCTTCCAACTTAGAGTAAATCAAGATGTCATCAATGAACACCAATACGAAATGATCCAAATAAGTATGTAACATACAGTTCATGTATTCCACGAATACTCTCGGCGTGTTGGTAACACCGAAAGGCATCACTGAATACTCATAATGTCCATAACGTATTCTGAAAGCCGTCTTCTGGATATCTTCATCCTTCACTTTAATCTGATGATAACCCGACCTCAAATCAATCTTACTAAACACAGAAGCATCAACCAATTGATCCATCAAGTCATCTATTCTTGGATGTGGATACTTGTTCTTAATCGTCACTTTATTCAATTGTCTATAATCAACACAAAGCCTCATACTTCCATCTTTCTTCTTTACTAGCAACACTGGAGCTCCCCACGGTGATACACTTGATCTTACAAACTTCTTTTCAAGCAACTCTTCCAATTGCTTCTTTAATTCTGACAATTCAGATGCAGACATCCTGTATGGAGCCATAGACATAGGTCTAGTTCCAGGTACAAGATCAATAGAAAATTCAACTTCTCTCTCTGGCGGTACATTAGGAATTTCATCAGGGAAAACTTCAGGAAATTCATGCACCACATGCACTTCCTCAATTATAGCTTGACTCTCGACAGATAGCGACGCTATCAACGAGAACATCTGAGCCTCTTCTTGCATCAACTTCCTCAAATGTCTAGCAGACAACAAACCACCATCCTCTTCCTCGGGAGTAGAAAACCTCACAGACTTATTATAACAATTAATATGAACATAGTTATGCTCTAACCAGTTCATAACCAAAATCACATCCAACCCTCTTAAAGGTAAACAAACCAAATCAACAGCAAAGTCTCTGTCGAAAATCGACAAAGGACACTTTAAACACACAAGAGAAGTAGTCACTGATCCCTTGGCTGGAGTATAAATGACCATCTCTCCATTCATAGAAGACAATATAAGACCCAATATTTTAACACAATCAACAAAAATAAAGCAATGAGTAGCACCAATATTAATAATAGTAATTAAATGAGTACTATTAATAAAACATGTACCTCTAATGAGTCTGTCCTCAGTAAATATCTGACTCTCAGCCAAAGCGAACACTTTTCCAGTGGTTTGTGCCTTCTTTGGTTTCTGACACTGACTACCAATGTGTCCCTCTTCACCATAATTGAAACAAATCACCTCCTTATGCTTGCACTTAGATACAACATGTCCATTCTTACCACAACAAAAACACCTCTTCACCTCAGTAGTACACACATTACTCTTATGCCCAGGTTTTCAATATTTGAAACACACCACACCAATATGAGCATCTCCCCCACTAGTCCTCTGACCCTGAGCAGCTTTCTGTTTACCTTTACCAACTGGGACATCATAAGGCTTACCACGATTCTATTGGTGCTTACCCCTCTTCTCATTGATAATCTTGTAATGAGCATTATTATCCTCTTCATAAATTCTGCAACTATCAATCAAATCAGCAAAGACACGAATCTTCTGGTATCCAATTGCCTTCTTGATCTCCAGGTGCAACCCGTTCTCAAGCTTGATGCACTTCGAAAACCCAGCATTTGCTTCGCTATAGTGCGGATAAAACTTAGCCAACTCAACAAATTTTGCAGCATACTCAACAACTGACATACTCCCTTGCTTCAGTTCGAGAAACTTAATTTCCTTCCTACCACGAACATCTTCAGGAAAATACTTCCTCATAAATTCCTATGAAACACAACCCAAGTGACATTTTCACCTACAGCTTCTAACCTCTGACACGTCTCTAGCCACCAATCATCAGCTTCAACTGCTAGCATATGAGTGCCATACCGAACCTTCTGCACTAGAGTGCAGTCCATCACACGGAAGATTCTCTTAATATATTTCAACCAATCCAACTCTCCTTCAGGATCATACTTGCCCTTGAAGGTAGGCGGATTCTCCCTCTGGAAGGTCGCCAAACTATGAGATCCAACATTTCTGTCAGCATTCGGCTTATTCTCCATAGCATGTGCCATTGCTTCTAAAGCAGCAGCAAGTGCAACATCATTCCTTCCAGCCATCTCAACTTATCACTACAACATAAACAACGGTTAGAACTCGAATTAACAATACTTGATTGTTAAACAAAACTACAACTCGACAACTTGGTCGGACGGACCGACTTGCTCTGATACCAACTCGTAACACCCCGATTCTACCTCAATCGATAAATATAATAATCAGAGTTACATAATTCACAGCCAAACCAGGATGATACAATTACAACTTAAAAACCATTGCATTCAACATGGATACATAACACGTTAAAACTTCAGATGAACCAACAATAAATTAATCTTTTAAACCAACAATTTAAATAACTACGCAGCGGAATCGTAATAAGATCTTTGTCCAACTTTAAAGCAAATTCAAAATAACACGTACTTAACAACAACCAACTTAAAGTTCAACAAATGAAATGACAATAAAACATCAAGCGTTTGTGATACGGTGGCAGAACCGACTGTTATACTGGTTTTGCATTTGTATTCGCAAATGTTGCGGTAAGCAAGAGTCTCCACCGACTTTTCTTTTATCCAACAAAGGAAAGGGTGAAAAGAACAGAAAAATACCTTTCCAGATTATTTCTGAGTGAGGGGGTATATTATGGAAAGGGAAGGTGTTAACACCCTTTCCATCCGTAGTTATCTACGGGCTCTTAGATGCTTAGCTCATTTTGAAATACCTTGTGCTTTGTGTGTTTTTGAAAAGTCTTTTGAAATGCCATAGTAAGGAAATTTGCTTTATAATAACTCTTGTATCAGTCCTCAAGAGTGTTGATAAAGCATTTTGAAAAGGTTTTTGGAAATTGTTATGTGTAAGTGTAAAAATTTGTTTGAGCAAGCATCTAGGAACTATCTACTTATACTCGAAAGATTTGTTCTTTTCCTCCCATCCTTTAGACAGTGCTATCCTACTATTAGTGAGTAGGTAGCCTTATTTTTGGATGCTTGAGGGACGTTCGAAGGGATGTACAATCATAAAGGCAACATGTGGAGACGCTTTAGCAATTTTGTCTAGGGACTAGATCATTTACCGAAAGGCAACTGTAGGGTCATCGAGGGACTATGACCTTTTGTATTTACGGGTCTTTGCTAAAGCGTCCCCGTTTCGAGGGACATGACTGCTTTATTTCTAAAGGCAACCAAAGTGGGGTACCCTAGAGGTGGATATGTGCAATTGTGTTCAATTCAGTTATTTATCTTGCGTTATTAGGTTTGCTAGCGTTTGATTTTAGTCTTTTCATACAAGCCTAATTACTAGCAGTTAATATTTTGCAGAAATTTAAAGTGAAGGAATTTAAATCTACGCTATTACAATGCATTGGGGAGGGGGTTTTTACATGTCCAAGAATGAGGGGGATAAAGCAGTAAATATCCTAGTTTTTTAATCTATTACATCCAATAAGCAGATACAATAATCTAAAAAATTTGAAAATAAATAAATGCGCGCGAAGTAGAAAAGACGTCTGAAAATCCTAAGGTGTAGTTTTTAATTATAAAAGAAAATAAAACTTAAGTCTATTTAAATTTAATTTAAAGAAAATGTTAAAATAATTTATTTATTTATTTACAAAATTAACTTAATTAAAAAGAAAACTAACCTAATGTTTTTGTGATTTTAGTTTTAGTTTAAAGTTAATTTAAATAATAAAGGGAAACTAAGAAAAAGAAATGAGTAGTAGAAATAAAAATACAAAAAATAAAAAGCCTTTCGATCCAAAGAAAAATGGATTTCAATCCAAATGGAGGGTGATCTTCGATCCAGGGAAGGACGTGGCATTCGATCCAGCAGAGAATGTTGGAGGTGTATACTATACTCCTGCAGGAAATTTATTAGAGAAAACAAGATAAAATCCAGTCTTGGGTCGAATCCGGTCTTAGATTCGACAACCTGTGGATGCACGATCCTAAATCGAGTCATTTAGGTCTGAATCGAAAACTACTTCATCTTACAACCTCATGAACTCTGAGATTCGAAAGAAAATGTGGATCGTGCCCAAGCCATGGCTAGGGGTGTGCATAATAACTGGTGACCATAAACCAAATTACTATCCAAATAAATCCAAATTTAAAAATCCAACCCAAAGTTATGTTTATAAATCGGTGGCCCATTTATTAAATTAAAAAATAACCGGTACCTATTATTCCAAACTGGACCAAAGTATGGGTCACTGTTACTATACTTCCAAACATACGCAGTAAAATACAACAAATTCGTCCTTCAACAACACCTCCACGAGCTTTCTTCTCTGAATCAGGTGAAATTCTACTTAGAATTTTTAGTTTTCACAAATTAAAAGCTTTTTAATTATGGGTTTATCTAATTAACTGCAAAATCGATGAAATTCAGGTTCAAGAGAAAGCTCTACCAACATCTTCCATTGATACTCAGGTAAACATATTATAAACTCCAAATCTGAGTTGTAGGATTCATTAATTATACGAATTTATTGTATGCACGCATCTTGTTTGATAAAATGCCTATTTTGGTTTGTTTATATTGTCATATTAATATAGCTGGAGAACGACATGTATATTTTACAATTGATGATTTTGTGAGGAGGTCGCTGCTATAGACATGTCTGTGTTGGTGTTGTTATTGTCGTCGTTGTCTCAGATTGAAATTGGTAAAAAAAAAGTTGTCAACATACAGTGGCAGAGCCATGGCATTAAGGTATCTTTTAAGTGCTCCTTTGATTGGAACAACCAAAAACTCTGCCTTGTTCCATTGCTTGAGATCTCTATACCACGCGCTGTTCACACCACGAACCAAAAGGTAGAATAAATCTCGTCAACCATATAAAATACAAAATACGCAAAAAATTAAGAAAAGTATACAATCCCAGTGAATGATGCATATAAAATGATGCTATGCTTACCAGTGTGCAAACTTTCTATTCTTGCACTGAAACAAACTTGCCAGGGGAGACGAATAGTTGTCAATAACTAGCGATTTAGAAGGCAGTCCCATGTTGTTGAGCTCTTGAGAATCGCTACCCTCAAATTTATTGTCATGAACCAATCTACAGAAAAATAAAACACCATTTAAGGTATGTCGAGAAATCTTAAACAAATAGATAAGCTAATATATAGAGTTAACTTACAATTGTTTTAACAACATCCTTCCGGTTTCTGCAGGGATATTTCCAATCAAGTTATTCACCCTTAAATCCAACAACTCCAGATTATCTAGATCTCCAAGTTCTTTAGGAATGACACCAGAAAAATTGTCCTTCCTCTTTTAAAGAAAAGTGTCTTTCCTATGCACTTTATTCTTGATTCCCAATTTCTCTACAAATAATGACCATTCTATCATATTTGTGGCCCTTGTTTGTTTCCACTACTGTATTCTTTCTTGCACTATTTGCCTTTGGAGATGTTTCCAAATTCTCATTTGAAAATCTTGATGAAAAAGCCGGTGAAGGGCTCTTGGATTTTTTTGTAGCAAAAATAAAGTATAAATGATGAAAATGTAACATAAAATTTTCTATGCCTATCATAAGAAAGTTAAAGTTATAATGTTGAGATGGTTCAGACTTGAGAGTTTCTGAAATCAGCTTCAGTCAGAGTTCCTGATTGATCATAATCTAGTTTTTATGCATTGAATTTGGTAACTTGCCAGAAAGAAACATAAGGTGCATGTACCTAAGTATGCTGCTAAATAGAAGAATACTGGCTTAAAGTTGAGTTCTGCTTCTTGTGTTTCATATATTGATTGAGGGTGTAAAGGGGTTTGGAGGTCACCATTCTGTTCAATCTCTGTGTCTGAAGTGCCACCACGCCGCGTTCGCCTTCTCTGAAGAAGGTCATTTTTCTCATTGACATGAGAATGGTCCCTTGTCTCGGAAAGCAATAACCGTTGAGTCTCATCACTTCCCATCAACTTACAAATGCTTCATTCGTTACCTGAAAAATTGAAGTTGTAAGGTATTCACGCCTTATTTAGATAATCTTAATTAAACGCTTATACTACATAATGTTTTATCAACTCTCAGGGTTGACCTAGTGGTAAAGGTTTGAGTTCTGAGAGTGTACTAGAGAAGACATTATTTGATAGTAATTCAGATAGAAAAGTCATTTATCATTTAATTTTTACTAATCAATTTCTATATTTTTGTATATTTTTTAGGTAACCAATTTGAAGTTAATGAATTGTTATGTAGCCATATATTTTATTTGAGATAACATGGCTTATGTAGATGACCAAAACTCATAGAATTTGGCCGAAACATTGGATAAATAGCATGACTTATGCAGATAATATAATGTAAATTATCAACAACTGAAATCCACCTAAATTCAATAACCTATCAAGTGTAATTTAGAAACAACAACTTATGTGACTTTGATACACTTTGAAACATAACCATTATGTTGAAGCATGGATATATATTCATTACGGTATATTACCGAGTACAGAAATTGGTTTAATTTGTTTGAAGTTAATAAGTGCTTTTGAAACACGTGCCTGTTGTGTATGTAATTTGATTTATAGACCAATACCTAAAATGTCTGTGATTTGATCTTGTTCTTATAATATGAAATTGTTTTCCTATATTTAACAGAATCAAGATGACTAATGTTAGTCACTTGTCAATGCATGGAACGTCCGAGAATACGGTCTCAACCCCTCCACCTACTGTCTCTAATGAAATGCCACCTCCTCACACTAAGAAGCGAAAGAACCGTTCAGAGGCTTGGAATCATTTCATTATATCTTCAGAAGAAGAACAAAAAGCTTCGTGCAAGTACTGTGACACAAAAATTAAGTATAATAATGGAACTAGTTCTATGCATGCTCATTTATCAAGATGCCTTGTTTACAAGAGACAAAGGACATCATCTTCTATGACAAGTGTTGAAGAACATATTGACTCTCCTTTAATTTTCAAGTTTGACCAAGAAGTTATTCGAAGAGCAATGGTTAAGATGTTCATTAACATGGAGATTCCTTTTCGGAAGGTTGAGCATGAGTATTTTCATGAATTTATGAGTCTCGCTTCACCAAGATTTCAGATTTGTTCACGCACAACATTGGCACGTGATGTCTTGAAACTATGGAACACAGAAAAAATGATTTTGAAAAACTTTCTCTCTCTGAATTGTCAAAGAGTTTGTCTCACCACTGATATGTGGACTTCTTATCAAAAGTTGAGCTATATGTGTGTGACGGCCCATTTCATTGACAATAATTGGAACTTACAGAAGAAGATCTTAATTTTGTGTCAAGTCACAAGTCATACAGGGGATGCTATTTGTGAAACAATAGAGATATGTTTGAACAATTGGGGTTTAAACTGTGTGCTTAGTTTGACGGTTGATAATGCTTCATCTAATTATGTTGGGGTTGAACGTCTCAAGAGAAGGATTTTGTCTAAGAATAGTTTAGTTATGAGTGGAAACCATTTTCATATGAGGTGTTGCGCACACATATTGAATTTAATTGTGAAAGAAGGTTTAAAAGACATTGATGATTCTTTTTATAGAGTTCGTCATGCTGTTTGGTATGCTAGATCTTCTCCCGCGAGGCTCGCTAAATTCAAGGCATGTATTGATGAGGAGAGCATGGACTATAAAGGTTTAGTTTCTCTAGATGTTGAGACTCTTTGGAATTTAACTTACCTGATGTTAATATCTGCATCAAAACATGAAAGAACCTTTGAAGAATTAGGTTTTCAAAATAAAAGGTATGTGAATTAATTTTTCAATCATATACAACTAGTTAGTTATTCTATTATGATAGTGTTGTACCCCAAAATTTTCCCTCTCATTTTATCAACATTTCTCACCACAAAGCTCTTGGAACTCAAGACCAAGCTAGGGTTTGCTCTGCTCAAGACATCTCCTTGCACTGTTGACCTGAAATTAGGCTTTGAGTTTGCACAGGGATTTTTGGACCTTCAATGCCCAAATTGACTTTAATACTTCATGTTGGACTCATAAGTTTTCCCATACCAAGTTTCAAGCCTTGAATCAAATTTTTGCCCAGTCAATTGGACAGTTGACCTAGAAATCAACTATATTGGGGAAAAACTCAATTGTGGCCAATTTACAGTCAAACCTCATGAATTTTGACCCACATAAACATTATGAACTTATATGAACCATTTGATCAAGTTTGGACCACAAATCCACAAGAAATTTGATCAGATCACCAAAAGGGCAAAATGGTCATTTTTAGGGTTTTGACTGTACAAAGGCAATTTTTGACTGTTTAACCTAGCCAATGGCAAATCAAGTTCAACCATGGGCTCAAGGAATCAATGAAATTATCTTGACCTATTCAACAAGTTCAAAAGATCTCAAATGCATAGGATTGACAGATGAATTTTTCAGTCAACTAATCAAAATTTGACTGTACACTGAAAAGTCAAACTTTGACTTTTTGGTCAAAATCAAGTGCCAATGGTCATTTTTCATCAAGATGTGCCAAATTATGAAACTTGTTCATCAAGAAACCCAAAATTGCAAATTAGGGTTTGAAATTGAAAAGTTTCATAACAGAATTTTTCTAAGATGAAATTTTCTTAATTTTTCCTAACTTTGTCCCACATTTTCACTAAGATGCAAATGGATTCAAACAAAACTTACAACATGAAAGTTGTAGTCCATCACAAAGTCTACAACTTTTATTCATAAAGTTTTCTCAAAAGAAGCTTGGATCTCAAGTTATGATTTTTGGAACAAGGGTCCCTAAAACTTTTAACTTAGAGAAATTTTGCCCTAGTTTAGGCAGGATTTTGACCCATCTTCTTGGCCATTTTTCACATAGTTCCACTTGGAGTATCAAGTTTCATTTCAAAGATGGATTATATTACATGTTGCAAGCTTTCCAAATTGTCCAAGAACTCCTCAAACACATTTGTGGTTAGGGAGAATCGAATGCTTGAAGTTGGCAAAAACTCACTTTGTAACCATGGCCAATACATGTTCATACAAGTTGCAAAATCTGACCAAACTAGCTTTGTACTTGATTACAGGTCTCTAAACCAATTTACACTCAAAACTTGAATGCAAATACATTGGTTAGAGGCATTTTTCTGATCAAGGGAGCATTATACAATGAATAATTCCATTTTGGGCATAAAGATAACACTTCCATTTACATAAAGCATGCTTTATGTCAAGTTTCATTTCTTGAGCCTTACACCAAGCCCTTTGCTGCAAACAAGGCTCCCTAATTCCAGGCAAAGCTCAACCACTTTGTGCATCTAGATTACAAGCCATTACAACCCTTGTATTGTCAACTCTCACTTTTTGCTTCAAAACCAAGTCATTGTGCCAAAAGTCCATAACTTGCACATGTGATATTTTCAACTCAAGCTAAGATTTCAAACAAGTTTTACACATTACACTAAGCCAGAAACGCGAGCCAATCATCCCTCAAACACCCTTGAACACCAAAACACCAAAAACTTGCAAAACAGGGCAGTTGCTGCAACTTGAGTGCCATAGCTCATTTTGCTCGTGCGTTTTAATCCTTTCCATTTAAAATACCTTCCATTCAAATCACTCAAGCTATCCCAAACCTCCATTGCCAACTGTAACTCCATTTACAGTGTTCACCATTTTTGTTTGGAAGCTTTGCAGGTTGAGTTCTGTAGAAACATTCAGGCCACTTCAAAACAAACTAAGCATTGGGAAAGGTCCAGGGAACATCAAGCAAGCTCAAAAGAACCTTAGGCCTCACTGAAAGTTGCTGCATTGCCATACTCGTGTCCAACTGAAACAGGTTTTTCATCAACTTCTATATCTCTATTTAGGAACATTTAGCCTTAGGTTTGTGAATGAAAGATGTAGTACTCATTACCCTGAAACCATGCATATGCTCAGTTTTCATTTATATTAGGCATGCTAAGAATTTCATCCATGAACTTTCTGAAAAAACTAGGTTAGAAATTAGGGCCAGAGAAATTCTCTCTGGTCTTTGAGAGTTAGATTAAGTTTTTTATATAGTTAGAATCGTGGTTTGATGCTTTACAAGTTTCATGTTTTGAGTTTTGTCAAAAGATCACAAATACAGGAGATACGAGTTTGTGTACAACAGGCGCGCGTTTTCAAAAGTCTGGAGGAAGAAGATGAAGACTTGGGCTGGGCTGGCTTGTTTTTGCTTCTAACACCTTCTTTTTCAGTTTCACACCCCCTGGCCCAACTTCTTGTATTTTTATTATTTTTGCATTTTAATTTCATTTCTGACTTTATTATTTTATTTCCAAACATAAAAAATGCATAAAAAATATTTTCATAATTTTTTATATTTATTTGGTATTTATTTTAATTATTACTAGCATTAAAACATTTTATATACTTTTATATTATTTTGTTTAAATTTAAAAATAATGTAAATAATACTTTTATTTTTGGCAAAATACTCATTTTGGTCCCTTTACTATACCCTTGGGTTCACATTGGTCCCTTAATTTTTTTCGGGTCATTTTGGTCCCTTAACTTTCAAAATGTTTCATTTTAGTCCTTTTTGTCTAATTAGCGACAGATTTAGCGACGTATTTCAAAGTTTTTCCGTCGCTAATTAGACCAAAAAGACTAAAATGAAACTTTTTGAAGGTTAAGGGACCAAAATGACACGAAAAAAAGTTAAGGGACCAATGTGAACCCAAGGGTATAGTTAAGGGACCAAAATGAGTATTTTGCCTTTATTTTTCATTTCTTAATTTTATTCACATTGGAAATATTTTCTTGAATGTATTTTATTTTTGTAAATATTTTATTTTATTCTATATATACTTAAAATATTTAATATATATATATATATATATATATATATATATATATATATATATATATATATATATATATATATATATATATATATATATATATATATATATATATATATATATATATATATATATATATATATATATATATATATATATATATATATATATATATATATATATATATATATATATATATATATATATATATATATATATATATATATATATATATATATATATATATATATATATATATATATATATATATATATATATATATATATATATATATATATATATATATATATATATATATATATATATATATATATATATATATATATATATATATATATACTTTATTTTATTAAAAAACATAGAATAAAAATATAAAAATAGTACATTTTTACTTTTATGGATATTTTATACTAAAAAACACTTTTTCTTAATATATTTCTATTTTTGTACATATTAATATATTTTTGTATATAAATAATATATAGTATTATTTTCTTAAAAGAATTAGGGTTTACCCTAAAATAAATAAAATTAACCTTTCTTTTATTTATTTATATTTCTTTACATTGAAAATATTTTTACATATATAAAAAACTTCTTTTTTGCATAATACATTTTTATTCTATATACATTTATTTGTTTTGTTTATTTAAATAATTGTACATTTAAATATTATGCATTGTAAATTCAATTTGGTTGTAATAACTTAGGATTTAAATTTCTTGCAAAATAATCTCCTATTTAAAACTTGTACCCCTATTCCAATAATCATGTTGTAATAGCTTAGAATTTAAATTCTCGCACTTAAATGCTTTTAATTATGCCATGATTAGAGAATTAGGGTTTGTATGCAAAAATCCAAATAAACAACTAGTTTGACCTAATCAAAGACCAAAATGCATGAAAAAATAAACACAATGCACACTTGCACCCCTAGGGTTACAATCCACTTGTTGCCTTCAAAAATGGGCTATGGTATGCATGTTAAGTACTTTGGAAAAACAAAAATAAAACAAAAGATCATAGTCCCTCGATGACGCTATCTGAGTTGCCTAAACAAAATAATCAAGTCCCTCAAGAAAATTGCCAAAAATACTTAGCACCATTGCTATTATGGTCTATACGATGACCCGCGCCTGTCCCGTTTAACATCCTAACACAAGGTTGTTCACCAAATATAATGGTGAAACAACACTGTTAAAAGGGTTAAAAACATAAGAAAGATCTTTGAGTAAAATAGGGTAGATAACTCTTAGTTACTTGATCAAAACTTGCAAAAACATCCTAGCTATTTTCAAACACACTTCACAACACAATTTCAAAACCCTACTTTCAAACATTGAAAACTTTCCAAAAGACAAAAACACCTTTGTATACATTCAAACAAGAATCATTACAAAGGTTGCCACAACGACGACCTCTTTTCAAAACATCTTTCAAAACCACACACAAAGCACCATTTCAAACAATTGAAGAGCACCATTTAAAATAATTGAAAAGCAAATGATCTAAACAAGTAACTAAGAGCCCATGGATAACCATGGATGAAAAGGGTGTTAATACCTTCCCTTTTCATAATCTACTCCCCGAACCCAAGAAAACATCTCAAAGGTCTTTCCTGTGCTTTTTGACCTTTCCTTAGGATAAAATAAAAAGTCGGTGGCGACTCTTGCTAAACCGAAACATTTGCGAACACAAACGCAAAACCTCAAGTCACTTCTCCCACCGTGTCACAGAACGGGCGACTCTGCTGGGGAGAACTTTAAAAATGGAGTAACCTTAGGGCTTAGATCACCTTTTTTGCATGCTTATCTTGATTGCTTTGTTTTCTTTACATTTGGTTCTCTTGTTTGGGCTTGAAATCATCTACCCGTATTTGGGAAACATTCATAGGTAAATAGCAATATATTGTGGAAATTATGCAGGGTATACCAACATGGT